ACGTGCGAGGCGGACACCTGTGTGCGTGTGCGTGTGCGTGTGCTCGCGCGTGCGAGTGTGCGGCGCCTGCTGGTGCGCGGAGGGTGAGGGGGGCGGGAGTGCGGGAGGAGCCTGGGCCTCGGAGAGGTGGAGGTGGGAGGCGGGAAAAAGCCAGACCGGGAGCCGCGTGCTGGAATTCCGAACGCCGGGAGGGGTCTGAGGTCAGTGAGGCGGGAGCCCTTGGAGATGAAGACCAGGGAGCTCTGCGAACCATGGGGCCCCCAGGACTTGGTGATTGAAATCTTCGGAATTCACAGAAATGTGGGCCTGCGAGAGACACTAGAGAATGAAGTGAAATCATCGAGGTAGATAACTGGTGTCAGAAACTAGGGTAAGTCGGAAAGAATTAGTGGAGAGGATTTTGGAGAAGTGTGAGAAATTACTTGGTTTAGAGGATGTATCAATACACCTTCCGGGCATTGGCTTGGTGGCCGGGGAAGCACTGGGATTTTTAATCTTTTAAGCAAAAAGAGGGCAAACGTTTTACCTGGTTTCCTGCTTTGAAAAACCTGTTGCTGCAAGGACCTCGTATTTGTGGATCTGTGAATTTAGGATTTATCTATAACCTTATATTATTTTTCCTTGCTCTCTTTAGAGTGTGAACATGGCTATGCCTCATCGTTCCCGTCCACGCCTGGCCCCCGGCTACAACATTCGAAGCCCCCACGGAGGTTGAGCCGGGCCCAGAAACACAGCAGTGGGAGCAGCAATACCAGCACTGCCAACAGGTACCGAGCTGGGGAGGTCTAGCGGGCGGGGGCCTGGAGGGTGGGGTTAAGATGGGGAGGTCTGCGATTGAGTGGACACCCGTAAACATTTGCTTGGAAGCCATGTTCATTCACGAAGCCATGTGCTGAAAGTAATCTTGGGCCAGTTTTTGTTTTGTTTTTCAGGTTTAGAGTGGTCCAGGAATTTTGTTTTTTCAAAATCAGAAATAACTCCAGCAGGCTACAAAGTAGAATCAAGGGCTTCGTTAAAGGATTAAAAATGTTTAGGTAGAATACGAAGTTGGTAGGCCTGGTATCTTTGTTTAAAGAAGAGGAAAATGTGGAAGGTTTCCATCTTATTTAATGGTGAGATTAGACTGGTAAGGGAATTTTAAAGCACAGACAAAGAAGATGCTTATCCTTCAGACAGACAAATCTTCTAAAATATTTTATCTAGATGTATGCAGACAGGTGACTTACACTAAAACTTTTGGTAGTGTCTGGCTGTGTCTTCAGTGTTTTTGTCATAGGGGGCCAGTGAAATCCCAAGGATTTATCAAATACAAAGTTTTTGAGAGAGCTTTCTTAGAAGAGCAACAAATGCTGTCTTTTTCATTAATAAGTGGACATTAAGTGAGATCTTTATTCCTGGTTCCCTAACTTTTGTCCAGAGACTATAGAGAGTGACGCACTCAGAGGTGGGTGGGAGGGACAGAGCAGTCTGTGGGTAACTCCACATTGCCCTGAAGGCTGTGTGGAGCTTCAGGTAGGTGGTTGAGGAGGGAGCAACAGTAGGTGGTGTTGATGCCAAAAACCTGAGGCTCCTGTGGATACCAGAGCTCATGAGGTTGGATATTCCTCCTCTGCATCTCACAGATAACTAAGGCAAAATAGGATTCACTCTTCTCCTGTTGACCTGCCTTTAGAGCTACATATTTCCTTTTGGCTGCTTTTTCTTTTTTTATTGAGTTTATTGGTACAATCTAGGTATACAATACATTACATTCATTATTGGGATCTTGTATCTTTACATGACGGGTCTTGATTTTCATTTTTTCCCCTTGTCCCTGCCCTCCTGCTTTTTCTTTTTTGAGACAGGGTCTCACTGTGTAGTTGAAACTGACCTGGAACTCACTATGTGCCCCAGGCTGGTCTCGAACTCACAGCGATCCTCCTGCCTCAGCCTCCTGAGTGCTGAGATTACAGGTGTGCGCCACCATGCCCAGCTTGTCTGCTTTTCTTAAGACTAGTCAGTGCTATTTATTTATTTTCGGTTCCAGAAATTGAACTCAGGGCCTTGTGCTTGCCAGGCAGGCAGTGTGCCACTGAGCTACATCCCTGGCCCTATTCTGTGTACTTTTTAAATTTAATCTTTTAAATTACAGAAATTTAATATGTTTAATAAGTTTAATATGCTGTATTAATGTGTCTAAGTCTAGAGAGTTTATTGTGTTATAGTATGAGATGAAAATAGGCAGTATGATAGCATTAAAAAAAACACATAGATTTGCTTACCCTTACAGTTTCTTTGGTTAAGTTATCAGGAATTAAGATCTACTCAGGAGTTTTTCAGTCCATACGTGGATTAAAACAAGGAAAAAATTTTTTAAACTTGGAGGCTGGTAAGACTACCATATAGGGAATCATACCTGAGTGGTTTTTTTGGGGGGAGGGGATTGAGACAGGGTCTCACTATGTGGTTGAGACTGACCCGGAACTCACTATGTAGCCCAGGCTGGTCTCAAACTCAAAGCAATCCTCCTGCCTCAGCCTCCCTAGTGCTGGGATTACACGCCTGTGCCACCATGCCCAGCTTTCAGCCATCATCTCTTATCTGGACAATTGCTGTAACTTGCTTGCTGGTAGTCTTGCAACCACAATTCTCTTTAATTATATTGGCTGAGTTTTTTTCAGTGCCTTTAAAATACCATGTTTTCTTCTACTCTAAGGTCTCTGCATGCACTTTTCCCTACTGGCAATAATTTTCCCCCTTCTTTGCCAAATTAGCTCTATTATTAACTTTGTAACTTCCATAGGGAGCCATTCCTCACCTTCCATGGTAGATCAGGCCTTGGTATTACATATTTGCACACTTTTACATGCTGTTTTTAATTACATTTATAGAAAAAGTCGCCTGCTTATTTAAGTCCATCACCCATTCATTAGACTAAAACTCCAGAGGGCAGGGGTTGACTCTTACTTTTCTTCATTACTTGTCACAGTGCTCTGTACAGAGTAGGTGTTTCTCAAGGGAAGATTTTTAAACTCCAGATAGACTTGTTAAGTGGAAACTGGAATTTTCTGTGCTGAGTTGAGTACAGTGTAGGACTGGGAGCACAGTGGTGGAAGTGTGCAGCTGCTGTTCTGGCAGACTCTCTGGTTACTTTATGTTCTAAGGGTTGTTACTGATAATACATTTCCAAAGGAAAATAATGCGAGGTAATTGGAGAAAAAAGATCTCCAGGTTGTCAGTTTCTTTAAACAAGTGTTTGTAGACTACAGATTGCGTGCCTTCTCTTCCCCTCTCTTTCCCCTCCCTCTTTCTCTTTCTGTACTGGAGATTAAACCCAGGGGTACTCCACCACTGAGCTAAGTCCCCAAACCTTTTCCTTTTTTCATTTTGAGACAGGATCTCTCAAGTTGCCCAGGCTAGGCTCATATTTGTGAACCTCCTGCCTCTGCTCCTGAACTGGCTGGTATTACAGGTGTGTGCCATTGTACCTGGCTGCTGCACTTAAAGAACACCAGCCTTATCCTGTCTTGAAAATTAAATAATAGCAGAAGAACCAAAAGTCTGTTAATGTTGACAGTATGAGGTATGATTGAAATACATGATGAATGTTATTTAAGAAAGTTTTATTTCAGTAAAAGACACATTGTCATTTATCTCCTTCAACCCCATCACTTTGAACACACTTATCCCATCATTCTTACCACTTCCTGAAGCAGTTCTAGAAGTCTCTTTCCTGAGTGTGCTTATGAGGTACGAACAAAAATGCATTGAATGCTGCTGAGCGCCATTCAGCAGAAAGGCAGATTCATAAAAAGCACACGGTGTGTCCCACATCTACCTTATTCACTGGACCCGGTGGCCTATGACCTTTGGCTTTTCCACAGAGTCAAAATGACCATGACGGGTAAATGTTTTGAGTTGATTCAGAACATCAAGGCAGCCACCACAGCACAACTAAAGAAACTCACGAAAGAACACTTCTAGAACTGATTCAGAAAGTGGCAAGAATGAAGGGATGTGTTTAAAATGAGAGGAATTCATGGCAACGTTTATTTTATTTAAATAGATTTAGGGCCAGGGATTTAGCTCTGGTTGCCTGCCTCTTGCAAGCGCAAGGACCCGAGTTCCATCCCCTGTACCAAAAAAAAAAAGAAAAAAGAACCACAAAAAAATTTTTTTCTTGGTCCTTGGAATTGAACTTAGGACCTTGTATTTGCAAGGCAGTTGGCGGTACCACTGAGCTAAATCCCTGGCCTGATTTAAAAAAAAATTTTAATCCTTTTTTTTTTTTTTTTTTTTTTTTTTTTTTTTTTTTTTTTTTTTTTTTTTTTTTTTTTTTTTTTTTTTTTTTTTAATCATACCCTGTACAAACCTGTGATATACACAGTGGCTTTGTTTGTTTGTTTTGGTACCGGGGATTGAGCTCAGGACCTTGCATTTGTGAGGCAGGAGGTAGCACTCACTACTGAGCTAAATCCCTTGTCCATTTTTCACCTCATTGATTGCCAGGGTTGATTCGACTGATCCAGCTGGCTGAGTGGTGTCCCCTTCCTCCCTCACCACTCCTGGTGCCTCTTCCTGAAGCTTCTGCTCAGTTGAAGAGGGACCCCACCCCCCATAGAGGAAGATCCTTTCCTGGGTCAAGGGTATAGCAGTGGCTGTGCTCCCCTGCTAGAACTTCCAGGTAGGCTCTCAAGGTGACCTGGAAAGTAGTAACCAGTGTGTGTTTGAATTTGTCTTTGTAGTATCCTTTGGAGACTAAAGAATATATGTATTTGAGCAGCACCTTACTAAGAACAAAGGCATTAAAACAAAACTATTGCTTATGGGGTTTTGGTTTAACTTAAAGTGCAAAATATTATTGTCTTATTTTAGAAGAAATGATTGTATGGTTTTTTCTTCGTGGATTTTAGGTTATTGGGAGGAGGAGGTAGGTAATGAATTCTTTTTCTAGGATAGTTACAGGGCAACTCTTTTTCAGTAGAACTAATGTGAGATGATTTATTCTGTTTTTATTCTTTTTTTCTTGGTACCGGGGATCGAACTCGGGTCCTTGCACTTGTGAGGCAGGTGGCGGAACCACTGAGCCAAATCCCAGCCCTCCCTTATATTCTTAAGTAGCACAGATTAATCATATGCCAGAAATGAAAGAGCAAAAGACTCCCCTAAGGAACTGTGTATCTTTCAAGAAATTTGTCCAAGCTGGGCCTGGTGGTGGGTGTAATCCCAGCTACTTGGCTGGTAACAGGAGGGTCTCAAGTTTGACACCAGCCTAAGCAGCTTGGCAAAGCCCTGTTTTAAGAAATAAAAAGGGTTGGGGATATAGCTCAGTGACAGATGCTTGCCTAGCTTTGGGTTCATTCCCTAATAGTACCACCAACAAAAGAAAAGAAAGAAATCTATGTATACTTAAGCTGGGCATGGTGTCACACGCCTGTAGGCCCAGCACCTGGGAGGCTGAGGCAAGAAGATTGCTGCGAGTTCAGTGCCAGCATGGATTACATAGTGAGATCCTGCTCATAAAAACAAAACAAAATAATTTTTTTTTTTTTTGGTACTGGGGATTGAACTTGGAACCTTGCGCTTGCAAGAAAGGTGGCACAACCACTGAGCTAAATCCCTGGCCCCAAAACAAAGTAGTTTTTTTTGTCTTTTGCAGAAACAGGGCTTGAACTCAGGACCTTGCTCCTGTGAGGCAGGTGCGGTGCCACTGAGCTAAGTCCCTGGCCCAACAAATTTGCCCGTAATTAAGTTGTTGATTACAAGATATGGGCACACATGCTTGGCA